ACGAAGATGACGCCGAGAAGACGCCCTTCATGACTCCGGAGGGAATTTTCTGCTACCTCGTTATGGCCTTTGGGCTCAAAAATTCAGGCGCCACATACACCAGGATGGTAGCCAAAATCTTCAGAGTAGTCATCGGCTGGACGATGGAGGCATACGTCAATGATATGATCTTCAAGAGCGAGCCATCTACCACTCATGCCGATGACCTCCGGGAAATTTTTGAAATCATGAAGAAGTTCCAACTCCGCCTGAACCCCAAGAAGTGCACCTTCAGCGTCCAGGGAGGCAAGTTCCTCGGCTACATGGTCAGCCGAAGGGGCATCGAAATAAACCCAGAGAAGATCCAGGCCATTGTTAACATGGAGCCACCACGAAATGTGAAGGGGGTACAACGGCTGACGGGACGCCTTGCGGCACTGAACCGTTTCCTCTCGAAATCGGCTGAAAGGTCTCTCCCTTTCTTCCAAATATTACGCAAGGCAAACAGCTTCAAATGGACGACAGAGTGCCAGCAAGCATTCGAGGAGCTGAAGCAGTACCTATCGCCCCCTCCCATGCTTTACAAGCCCAAAGCCGGTGAAATCTTCTTCTTGTACCTAGGGGTGAGCACGTCGGCCATCAGTTCCGTGCTCATCCGCGAGGATGAAGGGGTGCAGAAGGCTATTTTCTACATCAGCAAGACGCTATGGGAGGCTGAGCTCAGGTACTCCCCCGTTGAGAAGACGGTACTGGCCATCGTCCACACGGTGAAGAAGCTAGGGCACTACTTCCAGGCCTATGCCATCCATGTGTTGACTCAGCAGCCCCTCGACGCCCTCATGAGGAGCCCCACTAGCTCCTTGAGGATGGAGAAGTTGACAATCTTCCTTAGCCAGTTCCAGATTGAAATCAAGCCAAGGCCATCTATCAAAGGTCGAGCCTTGGTCGACTTTGTCACTGAGTGCACGGCAAGGGAGACGGCCGCCACCATACCCGGGTCAGAGCTGGACGAGACATGGACCCTCTTCACTGATGATTCATCAGCTGCAAAAGCATGCGGGGGTGGCGTCGTCCTCATCTCTCCTGAAGGATTCAGAGCTTACTATGTCATCCGCTTCAACTTCAGGGTTTCCAACAACGAAGCCGAGTATGAGGCCCTCCTCAGCGGCCTCAGACTCGCCGCCGGCCTCAATGCTCGACACATCAAGATCAAATGCGACTCCAAGCTCGTGGTGGGCCAGATCGAGGGCTCATACGAGGCCAAAGAAGGGAGGATGAGGCAGTACAAATAGGTGGCCGAGGAGTTGCTCAAGGTATTTGAAGCCCATGAGATCACACAGATCCCAAGGGCGGAGAATGCTGAGACCGACATCCTCTCCAAGCTCATCACAGATACCCCGGAGCACATCTCCAAAATAGCCAAGATCAAGGAACTCAGCATGTCCAACATCCATGCCAGCCCGGTCATGTGCATCCAGCATCGGCCGGAGGACTGGATCACCGATATCATGACTTTCATCACCTCGGGAGAGCTACCCCAGGACGAGGAGAGGGCCAAGCTAGCCAAACTCAGGGCTCCAAGTTACACCATTAAAGATGGGAAACTCTATAAGAGATCCTACAATGGCACTCTCCTATGATGCCTACACCAGGATGAGACCGACATAGCCATGGATGAAGTTCAATGTGGCGTCTGCTCCTCACACCAAGGCCCTTTCAGCATGCCCCGCCGCCTCGTCGTCCAAGGTTATTTCTGGCCGATGATGGCACGGGATTGTGCTAATCTTGTAAGGAAGTGTACCTCATGCCAGATACTTCAGAAGGCCCCTAGTCGGTCGGTCGTCAACTACACCTCGGTCAGCACCGCAATCCCATTCTCAATATGGGGGATTGACCTGGTTCGACCCCTACCCAGAGCTGCCGGCAACAACCGCTACATCATCGTCGCAGTCGACTACTTCACCAAGTGGGTCAAAGCGGAGCCCCTGGCCAGCATTATAGGGGCCAGGTGCCAGAGGTTCGTCCACAAGAACATCCTCACCCGCTTTGGCGTTCCCCAGGAGATTGTATCCGACAGCGGCACCTAGTTCGAGGCAGCACCCTTCCAAGAGCTCCTCCAGAAATGGGGAATCAAGCATCGCTTCTCCTCCGTTGCCTACCCTCAAGGTAACGAGCAAGTTGAGAATGCCAACGGAACCATTCTGGAGGGCCTGAAGAAGATACTCCAGGACGTAGGAGGCAGATGGGCCGATGAGCTCCCCAACATTCTGTGGTGCTACCGTACCACGCCGAGGAGGGCGACGGGCGAAACAACCTTTGCCCTTTACTATGGTTTTGAGGCAAAGGCGCCCACAGAGGTCACCATACCCAGCCGACGGGTGGAGCAATATGAACCTGAGGACAACGAAGAGAGCATGAAGATCGACCTCCCCTGATCGAAGAAAGACGAGAGCAGGCCTTCATCCAGGCAGAGAACTACCGGCGTCAAGTAAAATCATACTATGACGCCAAGGCACATTCCAGGGAATTCCAGGTGGGGGACTACGTCCTCCGCCGAAGGGAGGCGAGCAAGCCGACAGAAGGTGGAAAGCTAGCACTAAAGTACGAAGGCCCCTACATCGTCAGTGTCGTAGTGAAACCCGGCACCTACAAACTCAAACACCCAAATGGGTCTAATGTACCACGAACGTGGAATGTACATCACTTGGTGAAATTCTATCAATAATCCGAGGACAGCAAAGCCGGCAAAGCCCTCACCTTCCCACGAGTTATTGATCGATTACCACCCTCGGCCTTGAGCCACTTATCAATAAAAGTTGTATTCTACTTGCTTTTTTCTAAAAAGTTAAAGGAAAAGATACCATATTACAACGACCCCTTAGAGCGAGATGCTCAGGAAAGGTCGACAGAGCACATTGTATCGACCCTTTAGAGCGAGACGCTCATGTAAGGCCGATGATGTCCCCAGGACAAAGGGCCCGCAAACGGCCCATGTCTTGAAATGGGAAGCTCACCGCGTCGTTCACACGTGAAAATCACAGGACGACAGGTCTGAAATCATGGCCGAGGTGACAGAAATCCCCAAACTCGAGGTTGAGGAACGACAGCCGTCGGTAACCGACCAAAAGCCTTAGCCCGCGTCATAAACAGACGACGGGACCTCCCCGAGATCATAGGACGATCCAGTAGGACTCCTTACCGGCCAAGGGAATAGCAACCCCCTTGGCCAAAGCCTGAAAGAAGGATACCCACTCCTCGCTCAAAGAAGTAAAGAGGAAGGAAATAAAAGAGGGACAGCCGAAGGACCGTGCACTCTCCGGCCTAAAGCGAAATCCCCAAAAATAAAAGAGGAACAACCGAAGGACCGTGCACTCACCGGCTTAAAGCGAAATCCCCCAAAATAAAAGAGGGACAACCGAAGGACCATGCACTCATCAGCCTAAAGCGAAATCCCCAAAAATAAAAGAGGGACAGCCGAAGGACCGTGCACTCACCGGCCTAAAGCGAAATCCCCAAAAATAAAAGAGGGACAGTCGAAGGACCGTGCACTCGCCGGGCGGCCTAAAGCGAAATCCCCAAATATAAAAGAGGGACAGCTGAAGGACCGTGCACTCGCCGGCCTAAAGCGAAATCCCCAAAAATAAAAGAGGGACATCAGCAGGACCGTGCACTCGCCGGCCTAAAGCGAAATCCCCAAAATTAAAAGAGGGAAGCCGATGGACCGTGCACTTGCCGACCTCGAGCAATAAAAATAAAATCCCCAAAAATTGACTAAGTGCATATCAGTTAAACACAAGAAAAAGGGGTATGCCGATGAGCGGCATCTCGAGTGGCCGATAGAGTCCCAATGAAGATGACAAAATATTCTAAGACATGAAAAGGGAAACAAACCACCTATTCTCCTTGGCCGAAAGTGGATAAAATCCCATCGGCTGAACAAGGGGCAAAGTACCTACTCTAAACTAAACACTTAGAAACATTTTCAAAGTATGAGATAACAAAAAAGTACAAGGACGAGGAAGACGTCACTCCCTCAGTTGAACAAAGGGCGAAGCCCTTCATCGACCACGACCACAGGAAGCAACTACTTAAGCCTTTGTTTGACACTTAGAAAAATTTCAAAGTAAAAACAAAAGGGAAAAGGAGGGGGGAGTGACACAAGACGAAGAAGGCATTAAAGTCGGCATCGGTAGCCAAGCATTTCCATTCATAACAGTCAAATTATAAAATGGAGGGCACAACAGCCATTACATATTCAGGCACTACGGCCGTTACATATTATCAACAAGAAAAAAAGAGAAGGGAGATCAGGCTTCTCCCTCACCGGCATTAGGGACAGGCGTGCCGCCACCATCATCGGCCTGGGAGGAAGCGGTATCCACAAAAATGTCGTCATCACCCCAATCTTCTTCGCCGATGTCAAAGCTCATAATGGGGGATTGCCTTTCCTCTGCGGGAAGCTTGACCTCGGCCTCTGGGTCCTTCATCTTCGGTAGTAGCTTCAGCTTGGCGGCAAACTTCTTCATCAACTTTAGCTCTATGAAGCGCCGATGAAGCCTCCGGTAGATCAGCCGCTGCATCCATTGTTGGCCCATGTCGTAGTAAACCGACATCTCCCTCTCAAAGTACTCCTGGCCGGCAGGAGAGTTCTGGCCCCAATCTTCGAGCCTGGCCACCACAAGCTCATAGCACCAAGACCGATGCTCCTCAGCCTTCCAGCCGTCGGCCAGAAACTTCTTGATGGCAGCATCGACGGCCTTCTCAGCCTCAGCTTTGGCTTTCTCAGCCTCATCAGTATGAAGACGATCAACCTCACGAGCCTCCTTCTCACCGACAAGCTTGGTCAGAGCATCGTCCCTGTCAGTAGCCACTTGGCGGTAGGCCACATCGGCCTCGTCAGCTCTCTTCTTCAGGGCCTCCACCTCGCCCGTAGCCGCTCCAAGCAGTTCATGGCCTCCTCGGCCGAAACAGCCTTCTGCTCAGCTTCTTTCAGCCGGGCAATTTCTTGCTGCTGCCTCTTATGGCTCTCCATCAGCATGAAGGCCCCCTGCAAAAATGAAATAGTTAAGACGATGACGACACCTACGGTGATAAGAAAGAGACGAAAGTAACAGAGTATGCAAGGATCTTACATGGACGACGAGGTCCATTCCACCGTCGTAGATCCTGACGTTGCCAAGCTTGTCAAGATAGGCCCGGTCCTCGATTGGGACGGCTTGAGAGATCACATCGTGGCCGTCAACAACCTCGTTGAAGACGCCTCCCTTCACGGGGTACTCGATCTCCAATTTGTAAGTCCCCGTGACCAACTCCTTGCCGGATCGCTTCTTCCGGGAGTCGTGGGCGACAGGGGGAAGCTGAGAGACAGCAGTGGACGAGGGGCCGGATGTCAAGTCCACTAGGGCAGCGGCATTGGAGCCTCCAGCGTCTCCGGCCGACACAGTCACAGCCCCGACGTCAACATCGGCCAAGGGAGAAGCCCTCTTTGACTTCTTGGCAGGCTGCATACCGGCCTCAGTCAGCTTCTTTAGGCCATCGCCGGCCTGTCATTTTTTCTTCGGCTGGGTGGGCGGCTTCGACGGCTGGGCAGTGCTCAGCTGTGCTCCGGTCTCTGCAGCCAGCTTCACAACATCTTTAGCGACCTGTTCGGCGGCCACCTTCGCCTTAGCCCTGCTCATGATGAACCTGCGATCCATGACAAAGTCTGCACAAAAGAAAACAAACATTAGTAAAGCGAAGAAAAGTAAAGGGGATCAAGTACGTTGGGGAGGCATTACCATTAGCTTCGGCGGGAACGCCCAAATCCGGGCCATCGGCCTCCTCAAAGGTGGTAGTCATCTTCGGCCAAATTTCGACGTCATCCTCTGCATCCCCGTAGACAAAGTACCTCACGAAGCCGAGGGCGGCCATATTATACTCCATGATATATTCCTTCACGCTCCTTGGCCCCCCTTCCAAGAACTCTGCCACCTGAGCGTCCAAGATTGAACTCTTCGGCACATCATGGAGGTTAAACCTCCCGCTGTGGCTAACGGAAGGAAACTCGGTCCCACCCTCGCCCAGCGACACGAAGACGAACTTACTTTTCCACCCATGAATGGACGTCGGAAAATCAGTGAAGGACCTCCTATTCTTCACCTGTTGCAGATTAATATAGCCGACACAGTTCTGGTGGCTACCCCGGCCTATTTGATATAGGTTCATGAAGAGAGCTGTTGTCGGCTTGAAGTCCAACTCGGCACAGCGAAGGAGAAAGGCGATGATCAATGAATAGCTGTTCAGGGTCAGCAGAGCCGGAGGAAGCTCCACCATGTCCAAATATTCCGTGATGAACGGATGAAGGGGAAACCTGAGCCCCTTGGCAAAACTCATGGGGTATACCCCCAAAGTAGCCCAGTGGTGGATTAAACACGTGGTCCGTCGGCTTAGGGGCCCTAACCCTACCAAATGGTCCCACGTACATCTGGGCAACCAGATACTCGGCCGCACAACTCTGCGGCATGATGATAAGAACATTGGTGAGATCCAAGAAGGAGAAAGCGGGACCCTTCTTCGGCCGACGCTTTCTCTTTGGGGTGGTCCCCTTAACCACAGACACCGGCTTTGGGCAAGGAATGGTAGCCGAGGTAGATGCTCCATCCACGGCACGAGAGAACTCTGCATCCCCACCTTCAGATGACGAGGCGGCCTCCTCGTCCTCTAGCTCCCCTGATTTGAAGGAGCTCAAATCCCCGATCTCCTCGCATCACTCCTCCACCACTCGGTAGTCAAGGGATTTGACAGAGGCCTCGTCATCATACGGGTAGTACTCTTCGTCCAGGGTCTTCATCATAACAACTAATGGAGCCCTAAGGGGAACTACTTTAGATCTAAGGTTGTTTTTTTTACTAACACTAAATCAAGGCCTAAGGAAGCAAAGCATGAAAGAAATCGGAGAAAAGTTTGATGAGCTGACCTTTGAAGTTTTGAAGAAACAGAAGAACACCGACGAGCACTTTATCTCTCTAAAAATTTGGGCAGCACTTTGTTATATCAGAATGCAATAGGGACTTCCTTCAGAAGGAGGGGGTATTTATAGACCTCCCCCCAACGGTCACTACACGTGGCACCCTCCTAGTGGTTACACCAACGGTCACCACCTCAGAGCCCAGTGACGTGCCACCATTTCACATATGGGCCAGGCCCACTTCCGTCACCATCAGCCCAACGTTAAACCCCACGGTTTAACAACCAAACAAGTTGCACCCACAGCGGCCAGAACATTCAACGACTGACCCCATTTCAAAGTGCACCCATATCGGCTTAACACGCTACCAACAACAGGGCCCCTTCAACGGCCACAACAGCAAAGCAAAAAACAACCCAACAGCCATCGACCTTGAATAAAACCCTGATGATAACTTCTTGAAAGTGACCTGCGTCCAAGGGTTCTCCCACAGGGTTACCTTGGTCAGGAATTGCCAAGGGGTTAGATTCAGGGGAATACAAGGATCCCACTTTGGCTTAGGGTTACACCTTACTCCTTCACCCCTCGCTCACTCTTCGGCCTGAAGCAGTGGGGGACTGGGGGACTACACCGACCTCTAAAATGCAAGCAAGGACAAAATTAAAAATCCCAAAACAAACAAGTCCACAACTACAGCAACATTATATCATATATGCACCATAACGTCCAGGACCTTGTGGTGCACCCTCGGCCGTAACAAAGTCAGAAAACAAGGAAGTATAGCTCACCTCCCAAAACGTGATGCGTGTCGTCCCTTGACGCGTGCCACTCAACGGCTTTGAGATCACGTACTCCACTCTCGGCCAAGATGAGAAAACGGGAACACAACGTCCTCGGGTCATCATCGTCCATAAGATCAAAATACGCACTCCTTCTGGATCAGTGCCGCTATCGTCCTCAAAGATGGACACCAAACTATGAATATCATCGCTTCGGCCTGAAGTACGAAAGCAATCATGAGGCCTCCTCGGCCAAAACACAAAAAGCAACCGCCAACGACCAGAAAGAAGAAACATCACCCTCATCGGCTATTCAAATCAAGGCCACTGAGTCGGGACACTCATCATCCTCAAACAAACAAACGTGCACCATTAGAGGAACATCAGCCTTCTTCGTCCACAGTGAAGCGCATACAACGGCCAAACACGAAGAACCAAAATAGGAAATGTCCACAACGGCCATAACGGTCAGAAAACATCAAGACTAGGGAATCTACTCTCCCTCACTTCGTCTGCATCTCAGCTCAGAGAGTGGGGGACTCCTGATGGAGTATATGGGTATAGACCCCAGGACCCACATACTCAGAAGAATAAGAAGCACAACTGTCACCCAGTGGGGCCTCCGTCGGCAAGATGGCCCTCCATCGGCCAGAAAGATATCAACTCAGAACATGGTCCGGAAGCCAGGAGAACCAGGTGTCCCCGTTGGTCGGGTCTCTGTCGGCCATGGCTCCGTCGGCCAGATCTTCGTCGGCCACAAAGAACTTGCAGAACCGTATCTCACACTTAGTCATTTTTACATTCTTTGTACTCGGTTTAGTAGTGGCCCAATTGTAAACGGGCCTCCCAAGCCTAAGACTTGGGAGCCCATCCCTAATTTCCTCTATATATACTCCCCTTGGGAGTAGTTGTAGGGGTTCACAAATCATTAATAGCAAGAATTTATTGCACTTCTCTCTCTAGCTCTCACTTCTCTCTAGGAGTTAATTACTCCATCACAGAGATTCAAGATCTGTGCTTGAGCAATCAGAAATGTCTGAGGAATGGGAAGAGTGAGAGATTACCTCACCATCATCCGATTTGACCATAAGGCAGTTTAGAGAGATTTCCTTGTTGTAGTCAGTTGAAAGTTGTAAGGTTGTTGCTGGCTTTTGATTGTGGGCCATTAGGCAAAATAGTGCTTCCTCTGAACTTTTAGAACTCGTGTCTTCATCTGAGCTTTCTTCATCTTCATTTTGGCATTCCTTCTTTTCACTTACAAAAGCTTGCCTTCTGCTTTTGAAGTTTTGTTGGTTGGATTTTGAAGTTGACTGTCCTTGGTGTTTTGAGACCAGTGGGAATGGACATTCATTTTTGAAATGTCCAAGTTCTCTACAATTATAATAGAGGGCAAAATCCTTACCAGAGCTTCTTCCTTCTATTCTTGATGGATAGTGAGTCCTTCTTGATGAGCCTGGTTCATCCTTCTTGATGAACCTTTTAAACTTTCTTACAAACATGGCAAATTGTTCTTCAGAAAGAAGATTGTTCTGAATATTCTCAGCTTTCTTTGACTTGTGTGGCTCTGTTACTAGAGCCAATGTGCTTGATTCTTCTTTGTCCTCCTTGAGTTCCTTCATCTCGAACTCATATGCCTTTAGATCACTGAACAACTTTGATGTTGTCATGGTGCTTAGGTCTCCGCTATCTCTCATAGCAGTTACTTTCATATTCCACTTGCTTGGGAGCCCTCTTAGAACCTTGAGAGAGATCTCTTTTTGTGTAAGAGTCTTTCCCAAGTTAGAGATTTCAGCAGTGAGTTTTAAAAACCTTGACTCCAGATTTATCATCGTTTTCTGAGGCAGCATTTTGAAATCCTCAAACCTTTTGAGGGCAATAGTCAGTTTGTTGTCTTTCTCATGTTCATCACCCGCACCAATTTTGGTGAGTTCATCCCAAACATCTTTTGCTGTTTCACATTTCCTTATTCGAGGGAATATGGATTCACTCACAGCTTTAAAAAGGATATCCTTGGCAATATTGTCCAAGTTATTCCTTTTTCTATCTTCACTCGTCCACTCAAGTTTGGGTTTTGGAATGTACTCATTTGCTTCTTGAGTTACAACTCGTTGTGCAGATGATTTATGGCCAAATGACTGCCCATGGCTTCGTGTGTTTTGGGAGATTTTGTGGATCATGATTCAAAATAATCAGTTAAGAACTGATTCTAAGAATACTCGCTCTGATACCACTTGAAGGTCCCTGATAAAAGTCTAGAGGGGGAGGGGGTGAATAGACTTTTAAATCTTTTCGATTAAGTGTCTTCTTCCCTCTAGGTGAATTTAATACTTGAAACCTTTTGAGAGGTTTAGGATTGGCAGCGGAACATTTGACTTTTAGATAAACACACTGAGAGTTTAGAAAGGGCTGACTTTTGAATACTTACTAGAAGTTGGTTGGTTGGAAATGTGGTTTTGAATAGGAACTGTTCTTCTGGGAATTTTAGTGAGGCTTTTTGGTTTGGTGGTTGCTAGCTTTAAAGATTGTAACGCACTGATGTATCCTGGTTCGGAGGTGGTGTAATCCTCCTACATCCAGTCCTACCATATAGATGGATTTCCACTAAGCTATTTGACCAGTACACTTAGTGACCAGTTTACCCTTGATCACAAGCGTAAACTATCAGGTTTTCACAAGAAGTACACACCACTCCAAGTTACTCTAGCCTCTAGGTTTTTCACTAATGAACCAGACTGATTCAGAAGTTACTCATGTCATATTCTACCCACTCTTTGGATTTGTAGCACAAATTCTTTCCAAATGTGTTACAACTTCTTTCAAACTATTCTAAGCTCTAGTATGAATATGTCATTGTGAACTAGTCTAAGAGCTTAAAGAAATGTGAACGAGCCAAGAATAAAGTGAATAAGTGATGGATTAACACTTTATCTTTTGCAAGATATTTTGAGTATGATTGCTTTGTTTGCACTAAGCTCGCTGAATCTTCTTCGTCACATTACTTGGTAATTTATAGACTTGAGTTTGTTGAATATCTTCTGTTGGCGGAGGAGATTCAATATTGATCGTTGAAGCATCCACTTGATATTTTATCTTTAGCATGTCCTCCTTTTGTCTTGTTTGGAGTATCCTACATCTCTAGTTTTGTTTTGTTGTTTGAGTACATGCTTCCAGTTGTATGTGAACGTATGGGTTGACTATGTAAAGCAAAATATTCTTCAGTCCACTTGTATATAGGAGTATGGGTTGACTCTGTGAAGAGAAATATTCTGCAGCCACTTGTTGATTTCGTCCCGTGACTCTTTGAGTCAAGTTGCAAAAGTATTAGTTAATACTTTGCCTTTGCATTGTGATCAGTTGTTGAGAACAGAATACCTTCAGCTTCTCTGTTGCTATTCCGAGCTTCTCTGTTCCAACTCTGAGGTTCTCCGATTCCAATTTGAGGTTCTCTGATTTCAATTATGAGGTTCTCTCATTCTAACACCGAGGTTCTCTGATTCCAATTCTAAGGTTCTCTGATTCTAACACCGAAGTTCCCTGATTCTAACAGAATACCTCGAGATTCTCAGTTGCAATAGAAATTATGAAATTGAGTATATGTATCATAAAAATCTTGTTGAATTAAGACTATGATTGACAAAAAATTAATCGATTTGAAAAATATTTAAATTTTTGTTATGTGAATCTGACATGACATACAATAAATAATACTCCCTCCGTCCCTTATAATTTTGCCAACTTTCCTTTTTTGGTTGTCCAAAAAACTTTGCCACTTTCTATTTTAGTTAATCAATTTGTGGCCTGTGTTATTTCTCTCTCCTCTGCACAAATATCTACCACACAGCTTTTACTTTATTAATATACGTGTCGGTCAAACTTGGAAAACCTTTAAGGGACGGAGGGAGTAAATAATAAAAAAACATAAAGTCGAGGAGCCTCTCATACTAAAAAACATTGGTACAGGTCCATACCACTATAGTGATACCGTGATCGAGCAATGAAGACAAAACACGTGTCCATCAGGTTCAGACTCAGAGAAGCGGCGGAGCCACCGCCGTGAGAAGTTTCGCCTGTCATCATTGTCAGCAAGAAAATTATACAAGCGTCAACCACAAAGCTTCGTTAGAGAGAGAGAGAGAGCAGGAATCGAAAATACTCAGAACAGTGAGGGCTGCGAAATATCTTTCATTTGATCATCGTTTCCTCTTCATTTTGTTTAATACATATATACTCCATATATTGCATTTGACATTTCTATCTTCTCACCAAACTCGAACATACAAGCATCCGTATGCGGACTACGGAATATTATCGATTATCATTTTCCTTCTAAATTCTTATACTCAGTATATAAATACGAAAATTTATGTCCAACGATTTTTTGCTCAATATTCAGATAACGATAGAGAGGTGAGCAGATTCAAATGGGGACGAATTTGTGAAAAACGAGAGCAGAACCCTAATTTCCGCAAGTTCGCTGTGTTCTTTTTATTTTAATTGATTTGCTGATTTTCTTGTTCATGTACGTGAAAGTTCTTCGTTTTACCTGCTCCTAGCTTAGGTTTATACTGGATGTTGTTGGATTTGAGCATTTAATCAATAGAAGTTGAAAAGTTTCAGATCCGGAGAAGAACCGGGGATATTTGGAAATAGCTTAATATAAGAACAATGCCTTCACACTCGGACCTGGATCGGCAGATCGAGCACTTGATGGATTGTAAGCCGTTGACAGAGCTGGAGGTGAAGACTCTTTGTGACCAGGCAAAGGCGATTCTGGTGGAGGAATGGAATGTGCAGCCCGTGAAATGCCCAGTTACTGTGTGCGGAGACATTCATGGCCAGTTCTATGATCTCATCGAGCTGTTTCGGATTGGCGGCAAAGCTCCTGACACCAACTACCTCTTCATGGGTGATTACGTTGGTGAGTTTCAGATATCCCAAGCCAGATCTCAGAGATGCTCACTTGTGTGTTACTAGGCAATTGGATTGTTGCAGAATTTGGGCTGATTGGCTTGTATTTGATGAGCTTGTGATATCTCATTATCCTCATTCTCTAAGATTATGTATTAACAAAACCTTAGCATCTTTGTATCTTAAACTGGGTATTGTTCGCAAGTCGACTACTGTTGACTTCTAATAATGTTGAGATAAATGAACTTCGAAAAACTTGAAATGAAACCTCTTATCCGATGGTCCTGCTAGTGCTCTACAATGCAAGATACAGTATAGCTAAAGTTTATGGATGGGTGGTTTTATTTTCAGAAGGGGAAGCTCCATTCGAGTTAGCCAGTAGTACTCCACAAAGCATCTATAGTTACTGGAAAATAATATTTTGGACATACGTTAATCTGGTCTAGAACTTTTACATGCAGACAAAAATTTGTTAATAAATTATTTGCATACATCTTTGTTAAGTTTTCTTCCTCTCACCCTCACACACACCCAAATAACAAGCTCTCCTTCTATATTGCATGGAAGCATTCAAAAGTTTGAACCTTTTTTGTAGTTTGCCTGAGATCTTGGAAAGTGTCTTTTTCTTTGGTGATGTTAGTTTTTTCACTTTGTTGCTGTTAATAAAGGGTGATTTGGGTGGTAGATTCTTTCCCATATCTAATACACTTTTGTGTTTCTTCATAGAAGCATTCAGATCAATTATGTTAATATTAGTTGCTTTAATGTGCCATCACGGAAACTTGAATCATGAAAATTGTTACCATTTTTATTCAGTGTTTTAAAATCTCTAAACAACTGATCTTCTCTACCTTATCGCTTTATTAGTAATACATGTGCATTAAATGCAGACCGTGGATACTATTCAGTGGAGACTGTTACGCTTTTAGTTGCTTTGAAGGTCCGCTACAGAGATAGAATCACAATCCTTAGAGGGAATCACGAGAGCAGGCAAATAACCCAAGTGTAAGTTTTAAAACTGATAAAATGTTAATTGTCATGATTTTACAATTAATAGTAGGAGATTTCCATTATGTGGAATGTCACAATTTGTACACCCACTGCCATAAAATGTAAGAGGGATTTGGTTTTGATGTGGGTTTTAATCAAACAACATAATGATATTTAGTTTCTAAGTTTGTGCGTCAATGAGATCTATCTGGGCAAATCATTCCAAAAATTAAAATTTCAGAAGTTAGTGCAAAACGTAAATAATGAAAAACATTAAGTTAGTTATGTTTAAATGAAGAAGTGAACATTTTTTGGATGAATGGAAAGCGAGATATAAAGTGAAGATGTAAAGGGATGTGGTAATATGCTAATATTCTTGTTATTCATAAGCTCTTACTATTAATATCTTTCCTTTTTTCTATCTTTTTTTATTGTGAATAGGGCAAATTTTATTTCCTTGTCTTGCACACATTTAATAGGTGACATCTGTTTTTTGGTTTCTGGCTCAGCGCATTCTGAAAACAGTGCCTTTGTGCTATCAATTTTGTAAACAGAACATATTTATTTCCCTGTGTGGCGCTCTTGTGCTCTTAATATGCAACACTGCCTTTTATTACCTTTTTAGTGCATCACTAAATTCTCCTCGCACTCTTAAATAGAGTTTTAATAGCAATGTTATTATCTGTAAACTAACAGTCAGTAGGTACCACATTTCTTTTGTTACCCAGTGAATGGTAAGCTCAAATGTACAAAACTGTGTTCATTGATGCAGTTATTGTTATCTAGTGGCCATTTCTAGCCATTTTTCAGCTTATCAGTCATATCTTCCATGTTTTTATTCCAAACACTAAGTCATTTTACTATCTGTGATGAATTGGTTAAAAAGGAAAGTAGAAGACTGGCTTGCAGGCATTTATTTGGCTGAAGTAGCTGAATATGATCATTTTGCCCTTTTCATATATACATATATATGTGTGTGTGTATTAGAATTCTTATAAAAAATTGATATTTTTCAGCATTTTCAGTAAATACATCAACATTAGCTTCATTTTGACCAATCCCAGCCAAATTCATGCTTACCAAATGGGCTCTTGATCTTGATCCCTTTCCGAATTCAATCAGCTCACTGACTGACTCGTGTTGGGCTGTTTTATTTCTTTCTTGTGGAATGCTGCATTTATTTGCTGCATTTCTCTCTTTTTTCAGTCACTATGAAATTCATCTTTTCTTCTCAGGTATGGTTTCTATGATGAATGCTTGAGGAAGTATGGAAATGCCAATGTCTGGAAGTATTTCACTGATCTCTTTGATTATCTACCTCTGACAGCACTTATTGAAAGTCAGGTGTGACCTGTAAGCTGTTGGTGTAGATATGTTTTGTTAAATGATTATATTATTACATGTGGTTGCTGATGTAAATTTTGTTTTAACCTTTTTAGGTGTTTTGTTTGCATGGAGGACTTTCACCGTCTTTGGATACACTTGATAATATTCGAGCTCTAGAACGCATACAGGAGGTACAGAGAGTCTTAGGGTCAAAGAGTCAAAGTTTTATATTTATGTTTCGTGGCTATGTTTGTGACTAGAGTACTGGATGGGTTATTTATGTTCTTTTAACAGCAGGGTTTCGGGGTCAGATCGCAAGTTTCACTACAAGTTCTAAGTTCTAACTGTAGCAATATCATTCACAACAAACATTTTATATGCAAATCAGTACACCAACCATGTCTCCGTCCAATTTGCATTGAGCACCCAACTGATTATCGCTGACTTATTTCCATTTTCTCCATGCGGAGGACACATCCATATCTACATTGGTATCTTAAAGAATCGGGTGATTATGGTGAAGACTTAAACCAGGCATATTGATCATCATCATCATTACCCCAGTGCTGCAAAGGCTCCCACCTACGGTGGGATAAGGGGGGGTCGGATGTACGCAACCTTACCCCTGTACTAAAGCACAAAGAGACTGTTTTCGGAAACCAGGCATATTGATATTTAAAGAAATTTTGTGCTATATCAGCTTTGCCAATATCTGCCGAGATTCCTTCATTATATTCTCCAGATCACTTCTGTTGATTTCTCACTTACTCCAGCGTTCCTAATATTATCAACTCATCTCACACTTTTTAAGACCTTTATACATCCAAAATACATTGGCAACTTATTCCTAGATAATTTCTTTGATTTTCTGTGAGGTCATTGTTGAAGGTAGTGCTGAATTGACTGGACTAGATTCATCCTTCAGGTTCCGGAACTGTTCAAGCTCCCATACCATAAGCTTGTGAAGCTTGTTGAGTTCCCTCTTTAATTTGATATAACCTCCTAAGTTAGGGTCATTGGAGCAGTCTGCGTAACATGCGGAAGATTATGGTAATGTGGTTTGGTCAGCTATTTTCCATTTGATGGAAGTGTATCTGCTTTTCCGTGTGGTTAGAACTAGGGTTTTGATTATTGTTGTAATGTTGTTAGGCGAACAGAACAATACATACACGTATTGTCTGGGTATGCATTTCATGTTCCAGGGACTGCAAAAATTTGGAAATAGTCAGCAATAACCGGCTGCTAGCTTAGCATAAATTGGATGGAGATGTGACAGGTGCACTGATGTGCATACACTGTGTTGAAATATAAACTAGAATAATATTGAAAAGTGGAGGAAATGTTTTCTATATATTTCATTAGAGGGTTAAGACCCTATACATATATATATATATATATATATATATATATATATATATATATTACAAAGATGGAATATTCCTATATAAGATGTTATACAATAATAATGTCTAGAGTATATTCTTAAAGCATATTCTAGAGCATATTCCTAAAGCATATTCCTGGATACAATAATACTTTCACACTCCCCCTCAAGTTGGAGCATAGATATTTATTAGGGAAAGTTCCCGAAATAGAACTAAAACAGTTTCAAAATTCCAAAATAGGACTGTCATGTTTTTTATTCCCAAAATAGGACTAATTACTGCCATGTTTAGAAAATACTACCATGTTTGAAGTCTGGTACTGCTAAAACATGGCAGTAACTAGTCCTGTTTTGGGAATAAAAACATGACAGTCCTATTTTGGAATTTTCAAACTGTTTTAGTCCCATTTCGGGTAATATCTCTATTTATTATGCCCAACTTGTGACATAAGTAATCAACTCGAATCCCATTTAGAGCTTTAGTGAATAAATCTCCAAGTTGTTCTCCAGTCTTCACATATCCGGTAGAGATTAATCGTTTTTGTATCTTCTCTCGAATAAAATGGCAATCAACCTCAATATGCTTTGTTCTCTCATGAAATACGGGGTTGTTTGCTATGTGTATTACAACTTGGTTATCGCACCACAACTGAGCAGACATTGGTGTCTTCAATCCAATTTCATTCAATAAATGGTGTATCCATATTATCTCATATGCGGATTGTGCCATAGCTCGATATTCTGATTCAGCACTAGAACGAGAAACCACATTCTGTTTCTTACTCTTCCAGGATACAAGATTACCACCAACAAAGACACAATAGTCAGATGTAGATCTTCGATAATCTTTAGAACCAGCCCAATAAGCATCTGCAAAGCATTATATTCTCATATTTGGAAAGCAATATAATACGTGTTCTACAGCAGCCCAATGATCAATGGTCGGAGATGACATGTATTGACTCACTACACTCACAGAGTAAACAATATCCGGACGAGTGACTGCGAGATAATTAAGCTTTCCAACCAATCGTCTATATCTTTCTGGATCTTCAAATGGCATGCCTTCTTGAGTGAGTTGCACATTGGGAACCATGGGAGTATTGCTCGGCTTTGATCCCAACTTCCCTGTTTCAGCGAGCAAATCAAGTAAATATATTCGTTGAGATAGAAATATCCCTTTCTTACTCCGTGTTACCTCAATACCCAAGAAGTATTTCAATGAGCCTAGATCTTTTGTTTGGAACTGGCTATGAAGATAATTTTTAAGGGCCAAAATACCTGCATTATCACTGCCTCTAATCACAATATCATCGACATGCACCACAAGCAATGTGATTCCTGCTTTCGTTCGTCTGTAAAAGAGAGTGATCTGATTTGCCTTTGATCATTCCAAACTGTTCAATTGATCGACTGAACTTCCCAAACCATGCACGAGATTTTCGAAGTCGACAAACTTTACCATACCCCCCGAGCAACAAACCCCGGAGGTTGCTCGATGTAAACTTCTTCCTGAAAGTCACCATGCAAGAATGCATTTTTAATGTCCAACTGATGTAAGTGCCAATCATGAGTTGCAGCGAGTGAAATAAGTAACCTGACAGATGTTAATTTAGCAACAGGAGAAAAAGTGTTGGAATAATCAACACCATAGGTTTGAGCATAATCCTTCGCAACTAATCGGGCTTTCAACCGAGCAACAGATCCGTCTGGATTAACCTTAACATCAAAGACCCACTTACATCCAATAGACTTCTTCCCTGTAGGCAAGTTTACCAAATCCCAAGTACCATTAAGATCCAAAGCATTCATTTCCTCTACCATGGCATGACGCCATTCAGGATGAGACAAAGCTTCTTTAACAGATTTAGGAATAGAAATAGAATCGATGGAAGCAATAAAAGAACATGAGGCAGGGGATAACTGACTATACGACACAAATGAAGAAATAGGGTGAGTACAAGACCGTGTACCTTTACGTAGTGCTATCGGAAGGTCAAGATCTGATGTAGAGACAACATCTGAAGATGCATGTACTGGTTCAGGACAGGAGCTCAAGGACGGACCAATATCAGGATAAGTAATCACAGGGGTCACAGGTGGAGGGTGATCGGGTGCTCTGTTTCGACGGGTGTAAACCAAGTGCACTGACGGTTTGAGGTCGGGAACAGTAACATGTGGAATAACTACAGAAGGTGTAGATTCCGGTATAGTGACAAAGTAAATGAGTATTTCATCATTGTCCCCATGAATATCTGTCTTGGATGATGAAAAAGGTGTATTTTCATGAAATGATGCATCAATGGAAACAAAATATCGACCTGTACTTGGACAAAAACATCTATACCCCTTCTGAACTCGAGAATAACCCAAGAAAATACATTTTAATGATTTGGGGTCTAACTTTGTAAGATGAGGATTAACGTCTCTAACAAAGTAAGTGCAACCAAATGTTTTAGGTGGGATAGGAAAAAGTTCTTTATTTGGAAATAGGCAGTGATAAGGAGCTTTACCATTTAAAACAGAAGACTGCATACGGTTTATCAAAAAACATGCGGTAGACACGGCATCTGCCCAAAACTGTTTAGGCACATTCATTTGGAATAGAAGAGCCCTTGCAGTTTCTAACAGATGTCGATTCTTTCTTCCAGCGACTCCATTTTGAGGAGGTGTGTCTACGCATGAAGTTTGAATAATGCCATTTTGAAGCATAAAAGATTTAAATGAAGCTGAGAGATATTCTTGGGCATTGTCTCCCTCAACACACGAACATGAACATTAAATTGAGTTTTAATTTCAGCACAAAATGCAGAAAAATGAGTAAATAACTCTGATCGACGTTTCATAAAGTATAACCATGTCATACGAGAATAATCGTCAACAAATGTAACAAAATATTTGAAACCAGATTTGAAACAGGACATGCCCCCCAAACATCAGTATGAACAAGATCAAACGGAGCGTTTGCTCGTTTATTAAGTCGAGGACTTAAACTAGTACGATGATGTTTTGCAAACTCACACGACTCACATTGTATAGATGACACTTTATTAAACTGAGGATATATTTGTTTCATTAACGGGAGAGATGAATGTCCCTCATGTCCTAATCGGTAATTTGCTTCTAACAAATTTCCAACCCCAAGACAAGAGATACCTTTTGTGATTGATGTATCCAAAATATAAAGACCAGCCGACTCATGTTCTTTACTGCTTCGTTAACGGATCCTGAAACACACAATTATGGCTGGATGTATACTTTCTCATTTTTTAATTCACAATTAAACGAATGACCACTTTGCTCCTCGTGTAGTGGTTCTTTAATTTCAAGTTTTAAACCATTTCTTTTGTATTTTCCTTTACTTACCAATTTTGTTTATCTTCCATGACTCACAAAATCTATCTTGTCTGATGTAGGTTCCGCACGAAGGGCCAATGTGCGATCTTTTGTGGTCTGATCCAGATGACCGATGTGGTTGGGGAATTTCTCCACGAGGGGCTGGGTACACCTTTGGACAGGATATAGCTGCTCAGTTCAACCACACCAATGGGCTCACTCTCATCTCACGAGCTCACCAGCTCGTTATGGAAGGATTTAACTGGTGTCAGGTTTGTAGACCATAATAGACTCTCTTTCCCATTTTCTCTTAAATTGACCATAACTACGAGCCTGTTTGGTCGGATAAGAATTCATTGAAATGACTGGACTATTTAAAGATTTATGAAAATGTTTTTTACACAGTAGATTATAGTATTATGAAACAATAACTAAACTATGGATGGTAGAGTGGTCATTCAAGAGCCTGTTTGTGGAATCATCTGAAGATGTATTCAAATGTCTTTTATTTATTAAATAAATGAAATAAATTCAAATAATAACTACACTATGAGAGTAGACTGGTCGTTTCACTTAGTGGCAAGTTAAAATTATTTCTGCTAAAATTGATTAGAGAAACAAGGAATCAAATAAACGCTGAGGAATCAATTGGTAAATGGTAATATGGTTATTTGGTTGAAATGGCTGAAGCTTTTGTTTTTTTTCTGAAAGGAAACACATCATATAACATCCATTTCAGCCAAAAAGTGATACTTGTGTTGCTTACTTGTCAGCATAAGCCAGAGCTCACTACCAAACGGGGCCTTCGACTCTAAGAACAGCACATTCTTTTCATCCGGCTTTGCTTGTCTTTGGGGCAAAAACCATTTGTGATGTTTTCATTTTCTCTTGAAGTTCTTTGAAAATAAAGAGGAAGTCATTTTTCTAAACCAGTTGTAATTTTAATTATTTTTCACATGTTCAAGCAATATTTTATCAGTTATCACTACTTAAAACAGCATTTTGTTGGGGGGCACGTTATACTTATTATTTTGCAGGACAAGAATGTGGTAACTGTATTTAGTGCTCCAAACTACTGTTACCGGTGTGGGAACATGGCAGCAATATTAGAGATAGGGGAAAACATGGATCAGAACTTCCTTCAATTCGACCCTGCTCCTCGACAGATCGAGCCGGACACCACCAGGAAGACTCCTGATTATTTTTTGTGATCTATTTAAAATATTGCCTTCTCATTGTTTACAGCCCTATAGAATCTGCTGCTGCTGCTGCACTGTAGATCTTTGTTCTTTTCTTTGGGTTCTTTATGTTAATACATGCTACAACTGTATAATCAATCAATTCTCCTTTTTTGAGTTTTTAGCCAAATTATTGCTAAATAAATAAATATTTACGAAATTAGAGTTGAGTCAAAACTATTTACCAAAATATTGTTGGTCAAACTCGGGTTAGGCAAAAGTGCAAAACCGTCGAACTAATTGACGACTTTCCTCCATGATACTGAAAAACAACGCTCAACCTAGCTAGGCACGACTTAAAAGGTAGCAAGCACAAATGAATGGAGAAGTGGTGGGACCTCGGTAAAAAAACTCTTTTTTCTTTAATTTGCAATAACTTTTATATTCTTGCTGCAATTTTTGCAAAAAATATACTTCCTTTGTCTCGCTAGGATTGTCTCGTTTTATCTTATCGGGAAATCCCACTAAGATTATTCCATATCAAATTTGATAAATTTTGTATAGCTCTAAATAATTCTTATTTTATTTTTATTTTATCAATTCAATATCAATCACATAAACTCACTTTTCTTAATAATTGTGTCACCTCCTTCCGTCCCAATGTTAGTGGGACGAAGCCTCCTTCCGTCACGGAGGTAGCATCAAATTTTGTAACTTTTTGTGTTCTTTCATATGACACCAATGTTGAATGTACAAACTACAAAGTGTTAAACAAAATTTAAGACTATATGAGGTGAAAAAGCTAATTACAACTATGGATTGTTAATAAATCTAATTGTCAATTAGCGTAAATGGAAATTCTTTATTCACTTAGTCAATTCATTTTTCCTTACTAACATCGTCAATATATTCCATCGAACCTAGTTTTTAGTTAAATTCTTGCCTAGAGTCCTAAAAGCAACATTCGTCGATCCCTGGTCGACATCATTTATGGTTGAGATTAGGACGGTATTTGATCGTCTTTGAGCCCCCAACTTTCGTTCTTGATTAATGAAAACATTTAAGCTCAAACTTTTCTTATAAGCAAATCCGAGTGTTAAAGCTAAGATCTCATCATTATTTTATACATCTTTCAGTTATTTTTCAAGAAAAGACTTGAAGCAATAAAAAATTAAACACCAAGTTTTTATTGCATTTAAATGTTTACTTTTTTAAATCAAAATGTAAAACATTTCAATTGAAAAAATAAAATTAAACTCCCGATGTAAATAGTCATGGACTCGGGCCGGGCCTCCGGTTTATGAATAGTGGGCCTGGGACCGGCCCGAGGTACTGGCGGTTCCGGTTTGGGCCGGGCCACCCACCCGGGTCACGGGTAGGGCCACCCGCCGGGCCGGGGCTAGGCAAATCCATTTTGTTTTGGCTAAAGGGTCAAATAGGTACATGAACTAACTTATAATTTTATAAAATGTTCAATTAGCCCCTTATTTAGGAGGTTCTGTCCGGCCGTCGCCAATTGGGGTGGTTCCCGATAGAATTTTTTGATGATTTGTTTTGAGAATCTTCTTCATTAAGTCTAGTTTACCCATATCAAATTTCAGCTAAAAATTAAATCGGGAAGGAAGTCAAATGATTTTCCGAAATGTACTGCGCTGTTTAACTGCGCAGTTATCTTCAAAAAATCATTTGGCTGCCTTCCCTGTTGATTTTTTAGCTGAAATTTGGTATGAGTAAACTAGACTTAATGAAGAATATGCTCAAAAAATTTCATAAAACAATTCCACCAGGAACCGCCCCAATTGGCGACGGTCGAGCAGAACCTCCTATATAAGGGGGTAATTGAACACTTTAAGTTAGTTCATGTACCTATTTGACCCTTTAGCCTTTTTTTTTTGCTTATTTGTACTTTATAGTTAGTTCATGTACCTATTTGACCCTTTAACCTTTTTTTTGCATTTATTTGAAATGAAATAGGAACTACATTTGAAATTTGAACTACATTAGACAATTGAGAAAAAAATTACAATATGAAATACATTTTGTAATCAATCAGAACTTCCCGGACCTCCCGGTCCTTTGGCTTTGTCACATGACTTAATATATTTCCTTTCCATCCCGTATCCGGGTGAAACCCCCATGCTACACTTTTTCCCGCACCATTTGCAAGTTGTGTACCACATCCCGGTCCTCGGGTCCTTCTGCGTATCAAAATTATACCGTATAACGACATATTGACTTTTCATCTTAAAAATGGTAGATATAATAATTCTACAAATACTAGAAAAGATGGAGATGAAGATGGAGAATGAAGATTGGAGAAGATGTGTATAAAAATGTTAGAAAATATGAGTATTTATAGAAATTTTTGTACCCCCACTACCCACCCCACCCCACCCCCAACGGCTCTATTGATTCAAATTTCAAACAACCAAAGTGCCCAACGGCTATATAGCCGTTTGGGGCCTTTGATTTCAATTTTTTTTGTTTATTTTAGTTTGAATAAATTACATAATGTAAAATTAATTAATTAATTTTATGAATTCAGTAAAAAATGCTACATATAAAAAAAATGAACATATATTTATTTGAAATATGAACTACAAGTTTACAAGTTACAATTGAAGGTAAAATTAAAACATGAAATACTAATCAATCGGAATCTTCAACATAGGTAGAGCCACCCTCGGTTGTTGATTCATCCATAAAGTGTTGGGATTGGGTGATGTCAATTTCTTGAGCTCTACGAACCGCCTTCAACCAATCGTGGTAGCATATAAGCATCTCAAGAGATTCTGCGCTCAACCTCGTTCTAGTTTGCGTTAGGACATTGCCGGCCGAACTAAAATCTTGTTTCACGACAACTGTTGAAACCGGCATTGATAGCACTTGCTTAGCCATCTATGCTAAAACCGGGAACATTCTTTCTTTTCCCTTCCACCAGTTTAGAACGTCAAAATCATCATCTTCTTCAAAATCAACATCATATGTTAAATACAAAGAAATCTCATTAATTGTGCTTTGTTGAGTAGCGGGAGTTGTTTTAGTTTTTTTTAATAAGATTGGCAAATGTAGATTTCATAATTGATTTTCCTTTAGATGAAGATGTATGTGTCAGGGGAGGTGGCGCGTTGCCATATTGTGCATGAAACTCATTAAATAATGCATAAAATATATCACTAATCTCGTTGTATTCTTTTTTCGGATCAATTGAGTTCTCGTCATACATTGGCAAAGGACCATAAAAAGGTTGATAATAATAATTCAAACATTCTTCTAAAGAACCAAGTCTAAAATGAGGATCGAGAACAAATGCAATACCATAAATATGCGGAATATGTTCATAAAATCAGCAAAATAACTCACATAATCGGCATTCTCAAAAGTTGCAAAAGCACCGGCGAGATTAACAGCTTCACGAATAAATTGGTTTGAGGTAGGTTTATAAAAATGACTAAAAGTTTCAGTTGCATTATAAAAATATACCAAAGCATTACAAATTTTTCCGCAGGTGTCGATCTCAGCCGAGTTTATAATATAGTTATCATATTGTTTTAAAAAAGTATCACTTCTTGTACATGCATATAGCTCCACACTCTGCGTCACTTTCTCTCGCACAAAAAGCTTGTAGAATAAAGTAGAAATTAAGCCATAAAAAAGTCTCTTGAACTACTAAGAGAATAAAATCATATGTACTATTATATATGATAATGATATAACAATAATAATAATAGTAATAAATAGTGTGCTTTTCGTACTGATCCCAGTACACACTTTATCAATATGTATTTACAGCCAAAATGGACATTAGTTTTAGGATAACTTACTGTCTCGATCAGTATCAGTACTTATATAGTAGTTATGTATTAATTTGTATATTGTTATTGAAGAATCATAACTAATAACTTTATGTATTACTATGTATATATGTATATTAGTTTCTATTTTATTTAAAGTGTTATAACTAATCACTTTATGTATTAGTATGTGTATAAAAATAAGAAATTTTAAATGGATCCGGATAAAAAGTCATAACATATGGTCTCGATATTTTTTGTTGTTGTCTATTTCTGAGTATCTTCTTAAAATTCAAACAATTTGCGATAATTTGTTACCTATTGGAGAACCAATTTCAGACAAAGATCATATCAATGTCATACTTGAAGGATTACCGGAAGATTATGAATCCTTAGTTTCATCAATCTCTGCTCGAAGTGCCTTGGATCGAGCTACGTACATTGAAGTTGAATCCTTACTCCTCACAAAGGAATTGAAATACGAATTCGCAAGCTTTGTGACTCTTCACAGAACAATTTGCTATCAGCAAATATTGCACGTGTTGAAGATCTCTCCCTCAACACTTCTCAACAACAAAATTCAAATGAGAACTCAGCTCAGTTTGCACAATTTGACAATACACATAGTGTAACACCGACCCCGAGCATATTTACTTTAGTAAATTATGTAATGAACCTTGAAAGATGATTTGTGAAATTGCGTAATTGTAAATTTTTATTATTTCTTTTACGTGAATAGTAAATTGCATGTGGGGCCCACAGCGGGAACGGGGACCGCCCGATGATTCCCGAATCACATATTATATTCATCTTGGCCTAGATAATATGTATATGGTGGTGGATATTTTATTTGGGCCATAAGGAAGGCTCCGAAAGTCCATCTTAGGGGAGGCTCATTCATCGGCGTACGCCATGCACCCGGGAGGCACGAAGACGTACCGTGATTTAAAGGAAAGTTACTGGTGGTCGGGGATGAAGAGGGAAATAGCCGAGTACATCAGTAGGTGTCTTACTTGTCAGCAAGTTAAGGCAGAACATCAGCATCCGGCTGGGTTACTACAGCCACTTTCCATTCCTGAATGGAAATGGGAGCACGTGACTATGGATTTCGTGGTGGGGCTGCCACGAACGGTTAAGAATTATGATCCCGTATGGGTTGTGGTCGATAGGCTCATGAAGAGTGCACACTTTCTACCTATCAACACTACCTATGCATTGGAGAGGTTAGCCAAGTTGTATGTGGACGAGATCGTGAGGCTACATGGGGTTCCTATAACTATTGTATCCGATAGAGATCCGCGATTCACATCACGATTTTGGCCGAAATTCCAAGAATCTATGGGGACAAAGTTGAAATTCAGTACAGCCTTTCATCCGCAAACGGATGGACAATCTGAGCGGGTTATACAGATATTAGAGGATATGCTGAGAGCCTGTGCATTGG